TTCCAATTTGGCTTATTTTTTCTAAAACTTTTTCTATTTGGTAGGTCTAAAACTTTCATATACCATGGTTTCCACTTAAATGGACTCTCTAGGCACCCAGTCCCTATCTGTTTAACTCTGCCTCTGAAAACATTGTCACTTATAAGCACTACTTAATCTGTTGGCTCTATATATAAATGGCAATAATAATAATAATAATAATTAAGAACGGCAATGTTTTTATTTCAGGGTTAAATGTTTTAATTTCAGGGTTAAATTGCCACTAGCGGTTGTCAGAAAGGGAGCCATTACATGGGGCTTCCACAGCTATAACCAAGTTAAACTAGCCTCTCAATGCAAAGGGGAAGCATTGGATTGGCTGGGATCCTCCGTACTGAAGATCTTAACCAGGGAGGCAGAGTGCAAACATAGAGATCAGTACGCCGTGGCATGCAAGGAAAGTAAAATGTCCCTTCCAAACTCATATAAGGGACAGTGGACACCTAACTATAGTGTTCTTTAAATTAAATATCATATATTTCCATTTGCATCATCTCATATAGCACGTGCAAACTATTTAATATATATTCCACTCTATATTTTCAAAGGAACACTTTGCACTGGATTAACAGAGTGCTACCTTTGTCCTATTTTATAAAAAGTGCTGATTTTTTCTACAATATTGTATGACAAACCTGCCTGTCTGTTAATCAGATACCTGGGATGGTGCTCGGATTCCACATGTTTGCCAATAGTTCCCCATGAGAAACACTTTATTGGCCCAGCACAGCAATTGACACACATGTGCCGTAGGATCTTAATACATCTCTATAAGAAACACTGGACTGGAAGACTCTCACCAGTGACAATTGTGCAGGGGGTGGAGTGGAGCCGCTTTATTTATTTTTAAATATGAGGGGAACCCCAAAAATGTTTTATGTATCTAATGCTAGAATGTTCTGTTAAAGGAATTTCCACCCCTTTTACAAATGTATCTCAAAGAGAAAACAATTAATACTGAAAACTGGAAAAAAATATTGTGGTACACAAAAACAAAATATGTGTTACCTTGTCAATCATTAAAGTCCCAATATTAGGGTTTTAATAAAATTACCAAATGTATACTTAATACTAAATCTAAAAATGAGGTACAAAGTAAAAATTGTTTACTCGTGTTGATAACCTGGTGTATTCAGACACCACAATCTTTTTTCTTCAATAAGATATCAAGTTAACACAACCTTTCCATAGGGACCAAAACAGAGCAGTAAAGATATGTTGGCCCTGAATAAGAGGGCACACACCTTTGCTTGGGAACACTTTATGAGTAAACTGGTCTGTGCTTTTCTGCATATCTCGTATTGGCCTTGCAAACATATTTCACACTTGGTACTTCAGACATTTCTCTCTGGAATGGATAGTGCCAAGATATCCACACCACTGACAAAATGAACTCTGGACTCTAAATAGCTAATCTAACTTACTGGAGTGGCTTTCATTAGCGATTTCCTTCCAGAAATAACACTACATCAAGCAGATAGCAAACACTTCCCACAACACTGAAAGGTCATCTCTTGGAATGATGGGGAGCAAGCAAACTTCAAAAGAACATCATGCAGCCACATAAACCAAATAAAATGAGGAAGCAGTCTGTAATATAATGTAACATGCTCCCTCACTTTCAATGCACAGATCTCAAGATCATGTGAAATTAACACCTTCCATTCAGTAGCAGATCTTTCCTGTGCATGCTGTTGTAAGTCTCTGAATTAGATGTAAGGGTCAATCACACTCCATGTGGTGCAAGGATGTGAAAGCCTAATCTAACACCACTAATCATAAACCAAGCCAGTGATTTAATAATAATAAAGGGCTTAAGGCTACTGCAAGAAGCCAAAAACTCTTTATCACCAAGTGCCTCAACCTCAAATGACTTCAACAGTAAGTGCAAAATGTAAAAGTTATATCATGGCAGGGTAGACTGTCGAGTCAACTATTCCTGCTGATCATTAGCTCTATTAAATGTATTAAATGCAGGAGGCATCTAATTACAAGGCTCCTGAAGTTAGATCGAAAGTTCTTTGTACCAGTCCCATTTAACAGTTCTGGCAGCAGAATCATGTTTTTGACTGTTTATTCTATTTTCTTTACTAAATCATAACACAACAAATCTGCTCCTAAATAACCACTTAAGGACCAAATGGTGGTCTATGCCATCAGCAAGGTTTTAAAGGGAACCTATAGTGCCAAGAAAACAAAGCAGTTTCCCTGGCACAATAGGCTCCTGCAGTGCCCCCCCTCCCGCAGGGCTGAAGGCATTAAAATCCCTTTAATCACTTGCCTGAATCCAGCGCATGTCCCTTGGCACTGGGTCAGGCCCCGCCCATGCTCCTTCCCCGCCGACCAGTCGGCCACAGAGGGCAGACTTAGAGCTGCAATGTAAACATTGCAGTTCTCTGTAACTGCAATGTTTTACATTGCAGCACAAAGTGCAAAAGGGCCATAGCACCCAGATCACTTCAATGAGCTGAAGTGGTCTGGGTGCCTACAGTGTCCCTTGAATGCTCAGTGACAACATAAACTGTCATGCAGTAAAGGTACCAGCAAGGGTTAAATCCCCAGACTGACAGATTAACTATGAGCAGTGGAAAGGGGGTTAGATTATGGGTTGGATTAAAGACTGCATTAAGCCTTGGATTAGGGGTATAGGTATACATGTAGGGTATCACTGAAGCCAAGATCAATAGGAGTATACACATTTATGGGGTTTGCAGTAGTGGGACAAGCGTGGTCTTTGAATTTTCCAAAAATAAAATGTGTGGAAAAAAACCCCACAAAACATTTACTAATTTGGCTTAGGTTTATGATAAAATATCCAAATGAAAAATGTCAAAATGCTCTTAATTGCATAGCCTGGGGTATGTACTTTCTACAAGTATGTATGGTTGCCCTTAACAGAACTGGGGAAATTGTGGTGGAATGAATGCATGGCAAAAAAAAAAAAAAAAAAGACCTTGGTCACAAACGTGTTGCACCTCGAAAAAGCCTTGGTCCTTAAAGGGTTTACAAATGTAAGGAATATGGGTACATCATTGACAGTAACACAAAAGCTGGGCAGAAATGCAGATCATTTTCAGAGAGAGAATGTCTGAATTGATGGCACTCGGGCATGGGTTAATAAAAGATAGCAGATAGGATACAGGATCAAATCCAACCATCTATTAATGTGTCCAAAGTACAGGCTGTCACACAGCATATAAAAACTGAAATTTGAGAAATTTAATTAACAGTACCATGTCGATCTTTATGTTATCTGCAGCTAATCAAGAGATGGACAGGAAAGAATAATGTGTTTAATTAGAATGTCATGAGTGCTTAGATCAGCTGTCGACAAATGAGATTTTGTGTTCTGAGATTCTTAACAATGCACCCAGTATTGGACATTTTAAGAAACATTCTCAGAATTAAGAGAACTGTGTTCATGTTTATCATTGTATATTTCACTTGACTTAAATTGACATATGCAAACTGAGCTTGTGTCAAGTTAAAGAAATAGGTAGCATCAACCTTTTTATTATTTTTCCAAAGCAGATCGTTTAGAATAACATTTCCACCTCATGACTCTTTCTAGGGATGGACATATATTTTTGGTGAACTATACATATAATGGCATTTTGTTCAAATGTCTAAAGATGTTAAGGTAGAAGCATTAACTTGCATTCCAATAAAATAATTAAAGAAATTAAAATGAAACAGACAGCTTTAGAGACTACTGTAGTGCACATGGTGACATCAAGTAATGAATTTGTAACTGTAACAAGGATCCTTAATTTCAAGCAAAACAAGGACATACAATGTTAACATAATGTCTCCACGTCTCCACAACCTCTGCAAAACAATATTTCTCATACTACATAGTTCAAGATTATGAGGACACTGAGCAGGATTTTACTTTACTTGATCTGAATTATCCCATATCTTAAAATGAATTGACAGTAAGATGTACAATCAACAAGCATAAACAGGAAAAGGAAGTCTGAGCTTTCCTGTAGTAACTACAACTGCAGGAGAAAATTACCAGTCTCTACGTTTTGTGTTAATTATATAAAAGGGATTCTGTAGGCA